GACGAACATAATCCTTGGTTTTGTCCGAAATGTGAATGTAACCAATGTGCCACAAAAACGCTTACGGTACATCGATATCCTAAGTTCCTCATTGTATACCTTAAACGGTATGTAATATTCATTGCGTATTACAAATGCTTTACAGAGATTGATGTTACAAATATCTTATTAATCATGGATAGCTAATGCATTATTTTGGGTGATAGATTTGTATTTTATGAATGTGCGAGTATGAAGTTAGATGACAAGGTCACATTCCCTTTGGTGGGTCTAAGCGTAGGACGCCACTTTTATGATCTCTATGCCTGCGTATGCCACTTTGGAGGTGTGTAAATTTAAGAGAAAAATTTTCTTTTTAAATTTTATCATTTTAGAAAGAATTTATTATAAGAAAGTCAGAAAGAGTTTTATTGCACATATATGTTTTTAAACAGATTTATAGAAAAAAGTTGTTATAATTATTGATATAGGAGCATCAATAGGATAAAACAGTGAAAACATGTTGTATTATTAGCCATTATTTTAGCATCCATCTTTCTAAAAAAAAATTTTTAATATCTTCAAAAATTGTTTTAATGGATGCTGTACTTTGAATACTTTTTATATTTTAAAATTAAGTATCCTTCCAAAAATAATTGAAATGTATTTAGAGGTACATTATAAGTCGATGAATTTTGTTAAATATAATTTCAATGTCAAATATAATTTTAGGTGTATCAGCGGGCCATTATACGGCGTATGCGAAGAATCCTCGTACGGACGTATGGTATTATTACAATGATGAGATTACGAGCAGACAGAAGCCACAAGACGAGGATTTTAGCAATGCATACATATTGTTTTATAGTCGACAAGGGACCAACTTGAAACCGTGCAATATATAACAAGTGGTGTATTTATCTTGATAGCCGATAGAACAAGTTGAGCAGTTAAAGAAGAAACGAACAGAGCTGGTGACAAAAGGATGGACTGTGGCAAAAGGGGGAATTGATATTTGCGTTCTTCCACGTGTATTCACTGCGAAAGTTGTTCGCATACTTTTGCAAAGTTTCCTTTATCTATTTTGTTGCGCTTTTGTCTCCCCCGCGCATCCATCTCCCTTTCTCCTGCCTCTGCTAGGATGTCTTTAAAAGTGCAATGAAAGGCGTACTTCATGCACGCGTCGATTTGCGCTCAGTTACGTGAAATATTGATAGCTGTCGCATGTGCGTTTCTTTCGTGATTTGTTATACGATTTCTCGATGAAAGCCAGCAGTGTTTTCGCAATCGGTACTTGCCGGTAGCGTTTACATTAGCGCAACTTAGGCCTGATCTATTTCGCGGATACTGTGAGAACTGAGCATATTTGTATCGAGCATATATTGTAAACGTATGTCGAATTTGTACAGTAGATGGTTAAATGTAGTTTTCGAGAATTCTAAACACGTAATTTATTAGTGAATAAAGATTAACATGTCATACTTGAAATCAAACTTGAATCACCGCACACTCGCCAAAGGCGGGACGTCACGCTTCGCCATGCTTTCTTCTTTATCTGAGCAGAGGAACGGGAGGATACGCTTACCAATAACAAAGTGTTGCGCTTATCCGATATTCCTTCCGTTATTCAAGTGAGAGAACAAGAGGATTGTAAAGCGGAACAGAATATACACATTTTATAAAACGCAATTACGTTCATGGGTTATTTATTAAATTAGTTATGTGTATATATATCGCAATTTTATTAAAAGACACTAATCGCAGTTCAACATGTTCGTATTAGCACAGCAATGGTGTAATACTGATGTTTCACGCACATTTTTAAATTGTTATAAATTGTTATAACACGTTACATTATGACGCGTATAAGCAACTATAGAATCGACTCTCAAACATTTCTGTTTGTCAAACGTTGTAAAACCGACTCGAAGTTTCTCGATACTTTCTGTAGTATAAAAGAATACTATTGCCGTTGCGCGCTAACAATTTTCTCCGAATCTAGCAATTCTGGTCTTTTTACTCTTGTAACAAATTTATTTGAATGCACAAATAGCGCACGTACTAACATAAAAGTGTCCTACGATTTTAATGAGCTTTCAATATATTGTATTTTAGACCCAAATAAGGGACACAATTTTTTTATACGTGTCCTTTATATTCTGGTTTAGAGAGTATGACATAAATATTAAATGTTATTAAAATCGGAGAGAGACACTTTTATGCATCTCGTAAGATTATTACATAATCTTACTAAAATATGAAATATCCAGAAATAATAAAAATACAAGTTTTTATTTAATATTCTGCCAATTTTTCTGCTTTATGTATATATATATATTTTTTTTTTTATGTATTATACTAGTGAATGTTCGGATATCCATATATATTTGTCTCTTTTGACATTACGACGGTGACATCTATTGTTGAACTCTATAAAATCTGCAGTGGCTAATATTGTGTAATTCGACAATTGATAATACAGAGTAATTTAATGTTGACAGAGGTATTATTTCTTCCAAATCAATAATGTAGAGCATATCAGTAATTACAGATTTTATAGAGCTATATAAAGAAGAATGTTTCTATATTAAGGTTGTTTTCCAAAATTTATTGCTAATGCTGAAAATATATAGTGTACGTAAACTATAGATTTTCAATACTAGTAGTAAATTTTGGAACACAGTCTATACAGCTACAAAACAAACGATGGTTATCTTTTTTTTTTGAAACCTATATTAATAAAAGACATTATGAAAATGTTCTTTTGATCATTAAAATTATTTTGTCGAATAATAAGATAATTTATGCAAAGCAAGCGATACTACGCATACGTTTTCATATCAATTAATTTATGTACGCAGTAATACATTCAATTGAATCCGGTATTTTCTTGTAGGGTATCAGCGAATGATCTTTTAGCACTAAACCACATAATATTTCGTTATTTTCGTGATTATATAAAGTGTGTATAGTCTAAATATATTTTTTTCTAAAACTGAGAATGTGATAATATTTTAATCATTGTGTACAGTTATATAATTATTATTATACAGGCATAGATTAAAGCAGTTATTTATACTCTAACAGTTTATTCCTCTTTCATTATTAATCTCAACTTTCATGCTATGTTTTTAGTAAATAATTAAATATGACGAAACAATTTGTATTTGTAAAAAAACTTTAAATTATGTAATAGAATATTCCTACTTCCCTCTCTTAAATGGCCGTTCTTTACTGATGCATTTGCCCCACTCAACATATACACTTATTATGCTACAATTAAGCTTGCTTACACTTCGATCTTTATATTACGTTTACGTTATGTATAGCTTAATATTATTCTCTTTGTTCCTTTATTATGGCCGTTTTTTCGTCGTTTATGTTTTTCTGTTTTTCACCACTTATCTCATGCATTCTATGTTACGATGTAATTTCTTCATCTTCTCTAGATAAACATTCTCAGTGAATGTATACCTTATGGTTATCCAGGATATCAAAGATTGAAATTGATATATTTGAATTTCTATATTTCAATTAGCTATACCCAGCGAACGCTAAATATTCCTGAAATATTCATAAAAGGTTTCTAAAATCCCCAAAAAACATTCTAAGAGTATTCTGGAATATTCCGAAATATTTAAGGAATGTAAAAGCAATATTCAAATAGTGGTTAAAAATTCTATTTATATATCGTTATATATTCCGAGAATATTCCATATATGTTCCGCAAAATTTTAATTTCTTCAGAAATTCCAGATCCGGTCGCCTCTGGATCAGTTTTAACCCAAATTTTGCTTTGAAAAATACACTTCATACTTTCATCTTGGAGCCCAATTTTGGAGCTTACTTTATTTTTTTCTTAAATATCCACAAAAGCCATGAATAACGGTACCTGGGAAAGTTTCTGCAACCCGTATAAAACCAGAAAAGTGAAGCTTAATGATGCGTAGAAAATTGTTCTGCAACCGCTGGAGTCGGTTTAAATATGTATGCGATGCAGCCCACAGAAACCGCATAAAGTAAAGCGGGACGAGCATAAGTAAAAAATTTAAAATCTTATACGTAGCATAATGAAAGGATAAAGTTGCTTTAGAACTGCGTAGAGATTTAGCCATACGATCGCAGGAGCTCAGCGGAGAGCATCTTCCATTCACTAAAGAATTTGACGATGTCATCAATGTATTATGTGGCGCTGAAGGTGTGTAATAAGCAGATTTGGACTCCAAGAAGAAGTAAAGATTGCAGTATCATTTGCATATATCGCCAATTATACTTTATAGGCGAAATGCTGTGCTCCTTATTTTCTACCAAATGATTCTTGTTGAGTAAATGTTCTCCGCTGTGGTCCTCTGACCACGGTATCGGCGGAGATGTGTACTGTTCGCTCACGATTTGTGATATATACAAGGAGTATTCAAACAATATTCTAAATATTTCATAGACATTCGTATATTCTGTGACGATTCTTTCACTGTGTCGGAATATTAGAACACATTGGGAATCGAACTTTTTATGAATATTTAGCCATTAGCTGGATAGATGCTTTACATCAATTATTATTTTTTTAAATCATTGCAAAAAGACAATTTTCAAGTGTGTCTTTGACATTGAAATCTGATTTTATTTAATGTATATATTTGTTTAAATTGGATTAAACTATTATTTCTGACATTGTGACTGCTTGCCGATGAAAGATATAATAATGGTGTAATTTATAAACAATATTTGACAATTTGGCAGTTGACATTTGATATGTATCGGTAATAATTTACATTACAATTCTAAAAGTATGAGACTATTGTCATAATTCTTTTCATGGACAAAAATATGTGAGTTTTATTAAATTATTTTGTATTATTTTGACAATATCTATATAATACTTAAAAAATATTAATAATAGTTTTGCCTACAAAATTTTTTTATTATCTTCCATATATTAGTTAATATTTCATTAACACACAATTAAATAATTTAATCTAATCGATATGATTATTAATATAGATTGCAATATAAAGTAATTAATTTGATATATTACAATTACTTATTATCTACCATTGATACTATATGTCGCTATATTGGCTTCTGAACATTGCTTTGAGATAACGTTTTTTTTTTTTTTTCAATTAGCGGTGCAATCGCAATGTAAGATATTTATTTATAAAAAATAATTATCTAGGGAAGATGAAAGTATTTATCGTATGGTTTATTTCTCTATGTTACCTTTAATTTCATCTAAAGTTTTTCGGTATAATTGGCTTTGGTACCCGCTTGGATCCCTATGTTCAATTTATATACGTACGTCTCGTATTGTCATCGTCACGAAGCTACATTCATTAACGCAACGAAACAGTAAACCAAACAATCGCGCCGGGATGTATAAGGCCACCAATTTCACAATTCACCGTACGGGTCTCCCCATTGAGAACAAAGAGCGCCTGGTTGGAGGGGCTTACCATATATCGACCAAATATACCGCTTTGTATTATCGGTCTATTCGGATTACCCCATTTAGTGAGATGTGGTGGTGTTGCCTTTCCCACGCCTGTTATCATTTCCACTTTTCCTGGAAAGATATGAAATATATGTTATTAGTTTCTGTGTTTTGTAATTTTACATGCGAATAGTTTATCCTGTAAAGATTTTAAGGAAAAAATATAAAGAAATTTTAAAGAAAATGTGTTTAAATAAAAAATGTATATGTAAAGTTTTTTGAAGCAAACAGGCAAAATTTTAATAAGAAAATAATATTTTTGCCAACTTGGATTAGACTCAACATTTTTTTTAAAGGTCAACAATTCAGAAGATTAAATAGATAATAAAACTACTGTTTGAAATAATTTTTACAATTAATCTTACTAATATAATACAGTTTGATAGAAAATTTTTAATGATATTTGATATAATATCAACTGCGTGATTTAATTATTCGCAAAAGATGAAACAAATCGGATTATAATTTATAAATTCTTTTTTTTAATAATAAAAATAAAAATTTATTTAATTTAAATAAAGCATAAAAATGAACTTACCCGTAGTTAAATCGAGAAAAAGGATATCTTCTTTGTCTGTCGATGAAGCGTATATGTCGTAACTATGTGTTGTTTGCGATGGATAGAAGGCAATGTCGCTGATATTTAAAGTCGTTTTCACGTCAAAAGCGAATTTCAGTCCGCTTGCTGGAAAAATGTATGCAATATACATATATTTATGCAATTTGAATAATTTCTCAATTGCTATTTATCATTTTTCAAAATTTAAAATTTGTCTTGGCATTTAACGGATCGAAAAAGCATCTGATGTAAATAGTCTATAATAATATTGCATTAGCATACATATTTGAAAGTGTCTCATTTTATATCTTTATAGTGAAAATGCAAAAAGTGAAGTGTATGTATATATATATATATTACGTAATATCTCCTGCACCACGAGAGTGACACCAGTATTTTGTTTGTCGAGAGTAACCAGATATCTGGAATCAGGAGAAATCGCTGGTTTTCCTAGGATGCTCGGTTTATGAGCGAGAACGCTGTCAGTGAGATAGTCTAATAGCACTTGACCAGTCGGTCGACCAGTGATTGGCTCTTCGCATTCCAGTATCACAAAACCGTCTGAAAATAAAATTTTATTGCATTCTGGCTGAATAGGAAGTTGAAAAGAGAATTTGAAGTTACGTGACTAAACAAAAATTAAAAAAATACCGAAATAATGAGAAATATATTACAAAGATCGGAGAATTCCATGCTTGTTGGTACGCAGTTATAGCTGGCCAAGTTCACGGTACGAGTGTATCTCATGTTGACCAGGTCGAGCTTGTACATCCCATGTTGATTCGTATGGGTCACATAGCCGTATTTGAATATGTGCTTTGTATCCTAAGAAATAAAAGTTTTTAAAAAATTTGTCAAAAGTAATATAGATAATATAATTATTCATACAATTTTTTGTAATGATTGATAATATAAGCGAAATTGATTAAATAATATAATATAGGTCGAAGGATTTATTTTTAGTTTTAAGTTTGTATAGTTTTGCGATATCGGAAGAGAAAGACGATAAACATACTCGCTGCTGTGGAATATACAGGCCTTTCACGAGATCGAATTGCGCATCAATAGGTTCCGGTCGCATTGTATGATGTTTTTTTCGCTGAGCAGCTTCCTTGATTATTTGCACGGTCTTGATACCGACATCTATTTCACTTCTCCAGTTTAATACCCAGACATAGTCAAGATTTTGTACGTACCATAAATCCACCGGATTTTTGTCTGTAGCCACTACCTGAGAAATTAATTTGAAATTATTTAAAATTATTTCTAAGTATTCTAAAATTAATTGAAATTATTTATAGTATTCTAAATATTTTCAATCTTATAATGAAAGACAAAACAATGTGTACATCAATTATCATCATCTGTACTTCGCTGATTACAAGTACGCGGTTTTTATCCGGTTGACTAACGTATACATATCTATCAGCAACATTAATAGCACGGCCCCAAGAACACGGAACATTTTTAGGTCCGCAGACGTATTCCTAAAAATATGTAAAGAATACGATGATAAGATTATTGAGAAAGAAAATGATAAAAAAAAAAGAAGAAATATATTTTTTTATCTCGCACCTGAGTACCAGGTATAATGTCTGTGGAATGAATTTCGTGTAGCGCGTGACACGTAGATGGCTCATATACTAAAATACCCCACTCGTGAAAAGATAAGAATCTGCGTTCTTCGTCCGTCGCAACTGGGTACAAGATTTCAATATTAAGGACACAATAATATAATGAATAAAATTATGTACTTAAAATTACAACTAATTAGTGGTAATAGTGATGCGAATAATAAAATATCTCTCTATTATATATTAAAAATAATATTTTCTTAATTAAACATATTTGTATAATGGTTTAATACTACAAGTTCTGATCTCACAGCAAAAAGTTGCCCTTTACTCACTCGGTGTAGGTTGCTCCTGAATCACTAAACTGCTGATGTCTCTCGTTAGTCCCCCAGCGCTGGTCGCTTCACACATGTAAGCCCCAGTGTCGGCATAATCGACCTTCCTGATTAGCAATTTAGTACCGTTCCCGATCACTTCGTACTTGTCTGGCTGATCCTCGCTCAGGGGTTTGTCGTTCTTCAGCCATCGTACACGTGGGAGAGGCTCACCTATCACGTGGCATCTCATCTTCGCTGTTCCCTTTGGTCGTTTGGATTGAAATTGTGGTGTCACCCTGACCTCGGGTACAGCTAAGAGATATTATCCGCGATTATTTTTTATTAATGTGATTTTATTTTTTTTAATTTGTTGATATGTATTTTATTATTATGTTTTAAAATTATACTTTCTCCAACTTTTTAATATAATAACTGAAAAATATGATATATATTTGTAAAAATTATTCACTTTTTATTTATGTTAATGTTTACGTGAAAAATAAATTTAATTAAAATTTATTAAACAATTTGCAGATAAAAGGAACTGACTCTGGTAAGTTTAGAATACATAATAAGTTTGGAATATATAAAGGAATAATTAGTCCTGATACATAAATTATTATATAATATTATGTAAGTTAAAATTTTAATTGTTATATATAATCAATTATATAATTTGTAAATGAAAAATTTTTGCTTTTTCCAAGGATCAAAATTTATTTAATCCAAATCTACCGTAATTTATATTATTCCGTTTGAAGCATAGATATACTTACTATATATGGTGAGCATGTGAGTTTGCACCACGTCCTGGTTCCTAAGAGCGTGGCATGTATAATTACCAGCATGTTCCAACTGCACGTTTGTCAGATAAAGACTACCATCGTTGAGAACGCGAATCTACAAAGTATGTTTGCGTTGCTTTAATTCTCTCGTAATATATGCTTTTTATTATTTAGTTTAGAATGAGGATAATATTAGTTCGTCAGACTTAAATGAATTTTTTTAATTATTGCTCACTTAAAAAAAGCGATAAAAAGTCTTGATCTTCGATCCCCATTTGTAAGAATTTAACAAAATATAAAAGAAAATAAATTTTTCTCAATAAA